AGGTGATTATACATAATTGGAATATGACTGATGCGGACTCTGGCCAACACAACCTCCTCTCTTCCTATCTTTTTGTATCCTGGATTCCACTTCTCTTGTGTTGAGGTTGATATGCAGTTTGTTGTCTGGTTTGGCGCTCCAAAACTCCTGCTATTTATTGTGATAAATTTTTTAAGGTCGTTTTACTCCGGCTACCAGGGCCGGTGCAGGGGTCTCGTTCCACCCCACAATCTATGATACGCCCCCACCCCCACTCTGCTACATAGCAATTTTCATAAGGTAGAATTCATATAAAATACAAATTTTATTGTAACCAAATTCTGTACAATAATGGATATTATGCAATATAGGTGAGCATTTCATCTGGAATAATTGAAAATGTACCTAAATACAAATTAGAGACATGCCATAACAGATCATTCTGTATTAAATAAATCAAAAAAAAATTTTGGTAATTTTTAACATCAGCTTGAGATTATTATGTTTCCTTCCCCGATGATTATAATCTAAACACGTTCAAATCTTTGGTAAACCATTCTTCCCCACGTATCCTAATGAACTTTGCTTCTTACTCTGTAACCCTCTACCTCGAATGGCTCTTGGGCCTTGTACAGGGTGAACATCATTGTTACAAAAAAGAAAACTTTGGAAGTTGTCACGGTTTGCGTAGAAAGTTTTACGAAGTGTAGGAAAATAATTTTTTATATGATTTTGAGATTATATTTCCAAAAGAAATCTGGCTTCTTTCAGGAATTGGATTACTTTGGATAGATTGGCTTTCTTGAAGAACTCTTTAAATTATTTAATTGATAATATTGTTTTTGGGTTAGTCTTAGATCTTTACAATTCACTCGGATGTGTTTAACTCTGTATTGTTCTTGACATGCAATACACATTGATTATTCTACATTTTTCAGTAGGTGATTATACATAATTTGATTATGACTGATGCGGACTTTGGCCAACACAACGTCCTTTCTTCTTATCTTTATGCGTCCTGGATTCCACTCTCCTGTGTTGAGGTTGATGCTATAAAGTTTGTTGTTTAGGTTGGGGTTCCAACCATTTATTAGGGATAAATTAATCTTTTAAGTTTGCAATTAATATAAGGGATTTTAGTGTTTTCGTGATTAATGAACAATCTTATCTTTGCTTCCGAATCAGCTCTATCATCACCCTATACACAAATGTGGCTCGGTGTCGAACATTGTTTGTTGCTTTTGTTTTATTTTCAGTGTTCCGTTCTATTTAGTAATTTAGCAAAGTGATGAAGAGAGTTGCTGATGGAGATAAGGCTCGTCAATAATGAAGACTGCGCAATAGAAGCAAATCAGAAAATGATTAAATAAATGCACCTGTCTCTGAATAGAGTTACGAAAATTTCAAGCAACGGCCCGCTTCCCACCGGAGTGCTTACATCTTCTTTCAAAGCTGGTGGAAAGCGCAACGCTTATTTGCTTACCTTCACTATGACGTCAACCACTCTGCATGAATAAATTGCGAGAAAGTATTATCGTGAGATATCGGGCCCCGGGCAACGAAGGGAAAAATGAATAAACAACAGAAGAAACAGAGAACCATACATCTTCTACCGTGTTACTCCGGAGACAAGTGTATTTCTTCCCGGAAGCCATACGATGAGACTATAATGACTCGCTTATGGCGAATACATTTTCCTAAAAACGTAATTTATCATTTGAAGTCTCGTCCAATTTTAGATGATTGTGCTTATGTTTCATTATTAATAACTCATTTAAGTACCAACATCGGCAATTCTTAAGCTCGATGCTGAGTTATTTCATATTTCCAGGAATTATCTGCAAATAGTTAAATTCACAAGGGAAATTATTTTACAAGCAGTAATATATTCGAAGTTAGCTCCCTCGGGACATTGCAGTATTCAGGAGAAGTAGAAATATAGAACGCAGTCAAGTAAATTGCAAATTGAACGCGAAATCAATTTATTTTTAACGTTAGGAAATGTTAGCAATACTGCGCTAATACAAATCGCGCTACAAGGTGCTGTTGTCCTGCCTCACGATTTAAAAGAAAGACATATAGAAATCGACAAATTACAATAAATAGAATTATTTGAAAGTAGCTCAATCAATAAATAAGGAAGATTAATCCTTAATTAACATTCCCTATTGTTAGATGTACTCCCCTTTAAGCAATCGATCTTTGTAAAAATGGATTATTTAGCTGACCATGAAATCATATTCCCAACATAATTATCAAGTTTCAAGTTACAACGGAATGACGAACCTCTAGGTGGTGTAATGGTTAGCAAGCTTGTCTCGCTAGAACAATTGCGACTGAGTAGTGAGTTCGATCCTCACTGGGTACCCCATACTTCCGGCCTTGTGCCACATTTGAGCGACGCTTGGAAAATCACTACAAGGGAATGAGTTTAATCTTAAGACTAGAGCTTTCTCAATGGTATTGATCTAAGAGCTCACTAGGACGTGGCGTGGTATGTGTTTTTAGTAGCAGTGAAACACGCCGATAAACAGAAATCGGTTGATTTTAATATAAATCATTATACAAACATGAATCGAATATGTTAAAAAAAATATGTGGAACTTTATTAATCAGATGATTTAACTATTTTCCTCGCTTTAATTTCCTTTCTTTCACTGTAGAGTGAGTTTTAGATCCACTGGACTGGAGTGTAATCAAATTCCATTTTTCCTCAGATTCTGTCATTTGCAGTGGTGGGCGGTCATATGAAACTATTTTCGGGGTGTATGATGAAATTTGTTTGGCTTTAAAAAAATATTGCGTCATCTATGATTGCATCAGATTTTCCATCACGCCCAGACACTATAACCACGGATTAGTTGTCCTACGCACATTGTCTGCGAAGGACGTTATTCCAAGGAAATATACGAAAATTGTAAAAATGCACGAACAGTGACAAGCCTTACCAATGAGCAAATCAAAGCAATAGACTGACCCGGAAAATCTTCTGACTTAAATCCAGTCGAGAATCTTTTGGAATGCGTCCTTGGCCATTTTGTTTCGGTAGCAGCCATTTGCAATTTCCGTTGCAAGCAAATATATTGAACTATAAATATAACTACGGAAACTATAAGTATAAAACGGAATATACCTATATTTTCCAAACTTAAGAAAATACCAGAATATTCGAGAAAATTAACCTAAATAAAGTCCTGTCTGTGATACCGGAAATACCATTGCTAAGTTATCATTGACACTCAGAGACGAAAGAGAGAATAAAGAAAGAAAAAAAAAGGCAGTAAAAGAAGACATGTTATTGAAGAAAAGCGGAAAATAACCAAGACATACTAAACATGTGCACGTACACACATGCACAGACACACACAGAAAGAAGAAAAATCAGCCTGAAAACCAATAAAAAGTACATAAATTATTTTTAACTTAATATAAAAAAATGACAATGAGAAAATTGGCAGACACCTCCTGACGAGTGGCTCGAACGACTACAAAAATGTTCGTCTTGGAATCTCTAGAGTCGGGGTGCTAAACATGACTTCAATCAGCTAAGCGACAAATTTTATATTTGTATTAATCCTTGTTGGACACGTGGACGATTGGTTCGAACGTTCGAATCTCACAATGGTCTATTTTTCAGGAAGGAGATTTCCTGATGTTATCAGGCTGGAGTGGGTCGATCCCAGAGTGCGACACTTTTGGAAAGTGCCTGAAAATCCTACCAAGCCCTGTGAGTGAAATAGAGCTGATGCACCACTTTCTTTTAATAAATGGTTTTAACTTATGTTTTAACAATTGATGTTGGAAAATATTTTAAATTGTCTTCACTATTGAAAATAAACTTCTGTGTTAAATCGGTGTGTTGTTATTTTTAACATTACTCGCCTGCATAATGATAAAAAAATATTTAGCGGCAAAAATGAATAACGGCCTATTTTACCAAAACCGGTAACATAATATCATTATCCAACAAATCGGCCTTTGCTTGCAACGGGAATTGCAAATGGCTGCTATCGAAACAAGATGGCTAAGGACGCACTCCAAAAGCTGGCTGGTGTATTGGAAGGCAGGCAAACAAAGAAAAGAGTATTGAGCTGTTACGTGACATGTGCAGGGAATGTTGGACGATATCCTCAAAGATGATGAAGAGACTCGAGGCGACGGAGAAATGTGATTATATAGAAGGATGCTGAGGATATCAGGGATCGAGCGTGTGAGCAACGATAAGGTCTTGGGGAGGATGGAAACAAGGAGCAGGCTTATACTTAACATAAGGAAAAGGCAGATGAAATTTCTGGGACACGTAATGAGAAAGGAGGGCTTGGAGAATCTGATACTCACAGGTCGAACAGCGGGAAAAAGAGACAAGGGAAAGCAATGTGTGACATACCTGGCAGGCTTAAATGAGTGGATGTGGGGAGCTGGCAGAGGGACGAAACTTATTGAGAGCTACAACGGATAAGGAGAAGTGGAGAGCCATGATCATCTACGTCCTGAAAGGACACGGTACATAAAGGTAGAATGGAGAGAAAGAGAAACAAGGGAATGCAAAGCATGACATACCTGGCATGCTTAAGCGAGTGGATGACAGAACGTGGTCTGTGGAGAGCTAGCAGAGGGACGAAACTTATTGAGAGCTACTACGGATAAGGAGAAGTGGAGAGCCATGATCATCTACTTCCTGAAGGGACACGGTACATAAATGTAGGATAGAGTGAAAGAGCGTCAAGGGAAAGCAACGCATGTTATACCTGGCAGGCTTAAGCAAATGGCGCCCTGGTAGAACACGTCACATAAAAAAGAAAAGAAAGTTTATAGTATTACAAATGTTGCCCTTGTAATCAGAAGAGGCACATCACTTCCGTTTCATATTACCGAGACCGGTAAAATAGACTATGCTATGTTTGTCTATTTTCCGGAACTGGCAAAATAACCTCTTCCTATTTTAAAGAAGTTACAGAAATGGCGGTTAATGAAGCGATATGATGGAAAGAAAAAAAAGAAAGTAATTGGAGAACAAATATTTATAAAAGGGAAAAACAAAGAAGAAAAAATAAGAAGCAACCCGCGAATGAAAAGAATAAGAAATAAATGAATGAAAAAGAAAACAGAATGAAAAAGTTTTCTGGGTATGACGATAAACTACATCCAGCAGCAAGGCCTCTGATAAGGTTTTCAGGAGCGTGAAAGCAACTCTTCATTGCCGTTGTTCCTAGGTCCACCCTGACACGAGGTGGTAGCACCAGCTATGGGTAAATAGTTAACCCCTATACAAAAACAAGCACAATAAAGGTACAAAATTACATTTCTATTGTCAAAATACAAGTAATACATTTTCATATAAAAAGAATAACCAAAACTACGTAGAGTATAATTGCAACAATATACTTTGAAAGAAAATGGCCAGCAATAAATTTTATCTGTAGTTGAAGGCATACTAGTGTTTGAACCCAAACTAGGGTCCAAACATTATGAAAGAATAAAAATAGATTTTTATGGTAAAAAGAAGAAAAAGAAATATTGGGTTGGTGCATAATTATCAGGCGTTTTTTAAACAATATGTATTATGAAAAAAAGAAAGATATTAATTCAAAAATAACATTTTAAATGATTATTCTGGATCGTCTGATTATCGATACACAATTTTATAACCTGAAAGTAAAATATTTTTTCATTAAAAAAAAGTAAGCAAAACAGCATTATTTTTAGCAAATAACTCGCCTACTAAAACGCCTGATAATTATGCACCAACCCAATAATATATATTCTATTCATACGAACCTATCCTAAAACTATTGTCTGCATTAAATAACTCCCTGAGTTGATATGCTGTAAAACAAAATAAACCAAACCAAAGCAGAATGAAAGAAATAAAAATGTACGTGTTGTTTTTAATCTAATTCACAACGTGTAAGTTAGTAAAGACAAAAAGACACAAGGAGTTACTGGGTGTAAGACATTTAGGAAAAAGTAACATTATTGAGGAGCAAAAAAACAGCAGAGTAATATTCATTTTCATTGTATTTAGCATACGACAAACATTATTATCACTATCTGTCGTCAATGACAATGCAAATTAGTGAGAACGTGACCAAGACCAAAGCATAATTGGGCCTCAGGGGTTGTCCGCTGGAAATACACGCTGGGACACCTAATCATGCGCGACATGGCACTACAAATACCCCGGTATTGTGCGACTATTGACCAGAGCAGTATCTCTAAACTCTCTCAACGAGTTTACTTTCTTTACATCAGTCGGATGCAGTAGCCAGCTAACTATCCACCCGGTACCCTGTAGCAACCATTGATTAGCCAAATCGCCAAAAAGGTAGTTAAATCAATATGGCACCGGAAGAAATAAACAGTGAATCATATCCGAAACAAGGAACAGCGGATATTCTACTGCTCCTGTTCAATAAATATGGAAGAAGTATGAACAGGGTGATAGTTAACCCTATCTACTCCTGTAAAATAAATAAAGAAAAGAAAAGAAAAACGAAAAAGAAAAGAAAGAATGATGGAAAGTTAGGGAAAAATGACAGAAATTAAAGAAAAAAGTACAAGGAAGAAAGGAATAAACAAAACGGAGTGAAATGAAGACATACAATCAAATTGAAAGAAAATTAATAATTAAAGAAAGAAATGAATAAAATCAGAAAAGAAATGAAAAAATAAAAATAAATAAAGAATGAATGCTCGGAAAACCTGACAAATTAATGAAAAAAGAATGATAAAATGGGCCGAAAATCAAGAGAAGAAAGTAAGAGATAGAAAATAAAAGAACATTTAAGGAATGAAAAGAATCAATAAAACTCAAAGAAAGATTGGTAGAAACAAGAATAAGGTAAATTAATCAAATAGATTTTCAAAATAATTTTAACACCTGCAATAATCGGAGCGAGATTAATAATTCTTGAAAAAAGCAGACCCTAAAAAAAGAAAAGAAATTCAGAAATCGACGTGAAAGAATTTCTTGACAAAATGTCAACTCTTCCAGCCAGAAGATTGACATTTTGAAAACAAGAAAAAAAATTATTCGCATCATTTTGAAAGTCGTACAAATCTGTCTTTAGACATTGATGGCACTCAAGAAAACAGAAAGATTTCTGTAAATAAAACGAAAAAGAAAAGCAGCAATAAAATATTTTTTACAGTGACGTTCACCCTGTACAGGGCCCGGGAGCCACTCGAGGTAGATGGTTACAAAGTAAGAGGCACGGTTTATATGGATTGTGGCGGAAGATACGGTTAACATGTGTTTCTGTTATCTCGTATATATCTATGTTTATTGTGTCATTTCTTCAAATACAAAAAATAATTTTGAAATACATCTTTTTTTTTTCCATATATCAACATCGTTCAAGTACTCTAGATTAAAATTTTATTTTTTTTTACATTATAAGATATCATCTTTTATCTATATAAGGCAATCATGGACAAATTGCCCACGATAAGAGGTAGCGTCAAAAAGACGGTTTTCTTTCCGATGACACCGCTATTATTTTTAACTACCTTCACTTCTCGTCAATATTCATCGTTTTAAAAAGCGACGATTATAACGGTCAGAAAACCTAAACATCTGAAATATTTTCCGCTTATAAATTTGTAAAGAAATGAATAGGAAAAGATTTTTTATTCATAAATTTATAAACATTTACTAATTTATATATGTGAATTAACTTTAAGGATTCCTTAAAATTGTTACAGACCATACATCTGTAACCAGTGCTGGCTGATGTCCATACCTGTTTATTATTATTATTATTATTATTATTATTATTATTATTATTATTATTTCCTTTGATGTCTGGTGTATGCTTATTTCTTTCTGGGTTCTAAAGAGAGACCTAATATCAGAAATGGCATCATGACATTTTCCACTGAGCAGTTTTGAAAAAAAAGACACATGTTTTACATAGATAAAGCCCTTCGTAAGGTGTGGACTGTACTTTTGAGAACAATTTTTTGTATGTGTGTTTCCTGAAGGTATGGGCAACCAGGAATCTCTTCAATGAGTCTACTGAAATCTGTTTCAATCAATCCAAGTGCCCAAAATTGTTACAGGCCACATCACTGTAACCAGTCTTGGGTGATGTTCCCACCCGTTTATTATTATTATTATTATTATTATTATTATTATTATTATTATTTATATATTTTTAACCATTTCCTTTGATTTCTGGTGTATACACATTTTTTTTCTGAGTCCTAATGAGAGATCTAATATCAGAAATGGCATCATCACAGATTTATTATTTACCATTTTATAAAGTTTGAATCAGTTGAACGTTAATCGATATCTTGCCAACCATTTCAATAAATAATACGATAAATAAATAGTGTAACCAGTTTTAAAACATTAATCATTGTCGAAGAGTAAATGTAGTTTTGAAAAAAAGCAGTGTCATATGAAGCACTCTCCTTTTGACACTACGTTTTATTGCGGGCACACATGTTTAACGTTCGTCTTGGGTATGACGATAAACTATATTCGTGTCCAGGGTAAGACGATAAACTACACCCAACAGCAAGGTCTTTGATCAGGAGGTTTTGAGGAGTGTAGAACTACCTCTTAATTGCTGGCGTTTCCAGGTACACCCAGACCCAGGGAGTGGTAGCACCTGTTAGGGTCCCAGCTATGGGCAAATAGTTAACCACGAAACTGGGGTCAAAACGTGTAAAAATAGGTTGCAATACATTTTTATAAAAAAATTAGTACCATCAATGAAAATTTTAATAAAAGCTTATCAGCAATACATTATTACCAATAATACATTTTTTGAAAAAAAAAATAATACATTTCTGACAAAAAAAAAACAAAAAAATTACCAGCAATACATTTTGGAAAAAATATTAACAGCAATAAACAAAAATTGCAACAAAAAAGAATTAAAATTGCAGGAAATTGATAACTTTGATTTTAAATCGAGTTGAAATTAGTTCGGAGTTGAAATTAATTCTGTGTTGAAATTAATTCCGAGTTGAAATTAACTCCGAAGTGAAATTAGTTTCGAGTTGAAATTAGTTCCGAGTTCAAATTAATTCCGACATGAAATTAGTTCCGAGTTGAAATTAGTCCTTAGTTAAAATTAATTCCGAGTTGAAATTAATTAGGAGATGAAATTTGTTATGAGTTGAAATTACTTCTGTCACTCAGATAGATAGATAGAGAGATATAAACTGACTGATAGATAGATAGATAGATAGATAGATAGATAGATAGATAGATAGATAGATAGATAAGAATAAGCTGAGAGACAAAGTGAGTGAGAGAGATTGAAATAAAATGAAAAAAAATAAGTAATAAAGAAAAAGAAATAAAAGATGAAAGAATAAAATGAAGACGACACAAAGTAGAAGAAACACTAAAGAAAGAGAAAAAGAAATCAGAATAGCCTGATAGATAGATAGATAGATAGATAGATAGATAGATAGATAGATAGATAGATAAAAATATTACCAGCAATAAAAATCTTGAAGGCATTAAATAACCCATTGACACTGATATTCAGTAAAACAAACCCAACCAAAACCATGTTTACCGTGCATATTTTGTTTTCGCTTCCTTAGTGGGCTCGTCAATTTACAGTTAATCAAATGATTTTGAAAAGATAATGATTAAAGTGTTTGGAGAAATAGTCATATGTGATCTTGTTCGACAAAATTTCAGTTCTTGTGAAAAAAGCTCTCTAAGTTTAACATTTTTTTTCGTGCATTTAGAATATCGGGGACATGACAGTGAAGGAGTTCCGTATGACCTAAGTGTAAAGGTCTGAAGTAGTGGAACTAAAGATCGTACCTCAACTGAACATTAAAATAAAGATAGGCTTGTGACTTTGTGTTTCTGCAGAAAGAGATTGCATCGTGGAAAACACGCAGGACAGCGAAAAAACGTTTTGAACTCTATCAAGTTTAGAAAGGAAAGACTAGGCAATTCTTGCCTAGTTACTAAAGAACAGTTTTCCGTTAACTTTATGCAATATTAAAGCATTTTCTATTACCGTATTTAACTACATAAAAATGTATAGGAGTATATCAGACTCACACGCATTTCTGCAAGACATATTCACCCACCCTCCAGATCAGTTTGACCATCGCGACAAAAATCAAGAACAAAGGAACTCATTTCTCTCTGCCTAGACCAAATGTCTCTGGGTTACGTATTTACAGTACGTCTACCTCGCACATAAAATGTCTATCTGATCTATACGTATCTCATGAAAAGAACATTAAACATTTATTCGATATATTTCATCTAATAAAGCGAACATAAAAGAAAAATATCCACTTTTTATTTGCAATAGACTGTTTTTTTAAAGTCTGAAACAAAATTATTTGCTTTGAACATTTAAGGATTTTTGGTAAAACACACGTTATTAATAAAAACCAAAACTCTTTCTTCAGCCCCCCCATGTTTTTTTTTTTTTACTTTCATTGTATTCAGTGTTTAAACCCTAGCGTTTCAGCCGTTATTTTAATCAATGGGCTTTAATTAATTTTCTATTTATTTCTGCTAAACACTTGGAAAAGTGTTCAACCCTCTTTTGTCATATTATTAACGGGACTTACACTCACGTCATCTTCCGTTCTATGACGATAAACTACATCCGGCAGCAAGGCTTCCGATCGGGAGATTTTGAGGGGATGGGGGGTGGAACCACCTCTTAATTGCTTTTGTTTCTAGATACACGCTGACTCGGGGTCGTAGGACCTGTTAGGGTACCAGCTATGGGGAAATAGTTAACCCCAAAACTGGGGTCGAAATACGATGAAAGTATAAATAAAATTATTGTAAAAATACCGGCAATAAATTCTCATAGTAAAAAATATTATCAACAATACATTTCTGTAAAAATATTACCAGCAATAAAACTTGGAACAGAAAAAAATACTGGCAATACATTTTTTTGTCAAAGAAATTACTATTCCTCCCAAGAAATTAAATTTCGGAATTAAATAACCCATAAGTAGTTGCTATGTCGCTAAACGAACAAACATCTTCCGTGTAGGGTTCTCGTCTAATAAGTCGATGAGTATTAGAACCAGTGTTTCAGCGTGATATGGCCGTAAGCCGAGGAATCATCTGCTACAGAAACAGGTTGCTGGTACAATGCAACCAATCATTTTCCAGTAATAATAATAATAATAATAAGAAGAAGAAGAAGAAGAAGAAGAAGAAGAAGAAGAACAACAACAACAACAACAACAATGACTAGCATTGGCCGTAGATATTCTACAGTTTTACTATTTTTCATTGAAATTAATAAGTTTCAGGTCTCCTAACTCCATAAAATATAAACATTCCAAATAACCACTTTATGGCGTAACCACAAACATATTCTTTCGTAGTTATATCTCGTTGAGTTTACGACAGCAGAACCAGCAATACAATAGTAATGGCGAAGCGTAAGGGCCGTGCAAACTAACTAAGGAACTAACTAAGTAACGAAGAGAAAACACGTTGAATTTCTGATGAATCCTAATCCGTAAATTAATGATTGACTAAGCTCAGAGAAAGTATTGACGCTAATAAAATATCGTAGAATTTCTCCTCTTGTATCGTTAAATATCTGAGCTTAAAAACTTTAAGAAAATATTGCCAAAACTACCATGAAAAGATTTGAGAATGACAACGTTTTGCATCTCACTGAAACAAACTTAAAACACTTCTATTTCCGCTTCTTTTTTCTTTCTTTCTGAAACCAAGTAGCGTCTTTCGTATGTTTTTCCACACAATCTAAAGGAAATTGTCCCTTATTTTTTTGGAATTGAGAGGTGACTTTAAACATTCTTATCTTTCCTTCTATCTTTCTTACTATCTTTGTTTCTGTTTGTCTTACTTTCATTTTCTCACTAAATAGCACCTGTGATATGTAATTTCTAAATGTAATTTCTATGTAATTTCTCACTAAATTCTAAATGTAATTTCTATGTAATTTCTCACTAAATTCTAAATGTAATTTCTATGTAATTTCTCACTAAATAGCATCCCTGATACGTAATAGTATCTCTGATATGTAATTTCCATCTTTTCACGCAGTCAAAAAGTAGTAGTCAATTATTCATGAGGTACTGACAGGGCGTAACGGTTGTGTGAACAAAGGAAGTAACGAGTTAACAAAGGTATGGACAATCAGAGTTATTATATGGTTTGGTTTGTTTTGGTTTGGTTTGGTTTATTTAGTTTTACGGCATATCAAGCTCAATGGGTTATTTAATGCCGACAACATTTTTAGGATAGATTCGAATGAATAGAATATGTATTCTTTGGTTTAGATTGGTTTGGTTTATTTTGTTTTACGTCATATCAACCTCAATGGGTTATTTAATGCTGACAAAATTTTTTATTGCTGGTAATATTTTCTTTTGTCAAAAATCTGTTTCTGGTAATATATGTTCTTCAAAATTGTATTGCTGGTAAAAATGTTTTTCCAAAAAGTTTTGCTGGCAATAGTTAACTATTTGACCATAGCTGAGACCCTAACAGGTGCTACCACCCCGGGTCAGGGTTGACCTGGGAACACCAGCAATTAAGAGTTGGTTCCACGCTCCTCAAAACCTCCTAATCAGAGGCCTTGCTGCTGGACGTAGTTTAACGTCTTACCCAGGACGCGGATGCAGTTTAACGTCTTACCCAGGACGCAGCGTTATTATATGATATTATGAAATGTTGGATGATATTTTTGTTACAATTTTTGGATACATTATGCACTAGTGAGTTAGCCCAAATGACTTGACTCACTTTATAGTCCACCAATAGAACGTTAACCAATCAGAAGACGTAGAACATTCAATCCGTCGTGTATAAAGGCGGCCATTTTTGTTCACTCTACCCGAATATCCAGTCCAGCTTGTCAGGCGAAGAGAACCAGAAGGATGAACTATGCTCTGCTATTTTTACCAAAATATCCACTGCTAACCTGAACAACGCTTTCCTACTGTCTTCGAAATATTCACTGCTAACCTCTGGATTCTATACTCGAAGATGACCGTCATCATGAACAACAATTTTTTGTCAGTGTCTCTCCAGTGAAAGCTGGTAATGGAAAAGAACGTCCCCTTAGTGCGGTAAATGATCCTATGTACACGGGTAAGTGATCCTATTTACAGGGGTAAATGATCCTATGCACACGCTGCGATCCTAAATGATTTGAAAATTAAAAGTTGCTGCTTTTTGTCTGCAAGGATTTTACGATTTCAACGATTTAAACGGAAAGTGGAATTTGTATTGGAATGGTTCGCATTGCTTATTCGACCACACCTACTAGAGTTGTTAGGGCCCCACGGCCTAAACAGTAATCGTATTAATTGAAAGATTACTTGACGAAGCCTATCCTTCTTAAAACTGGTTTTGAATTTAGTGTCATACTACTAAGCTGGTTTTCTAGTCAAAGCTAAAAAAAAATACCTGCTATTTAGGAAGTTTTAATTCCCCTAGAATGTCTTCCACGCAAGGTTAGAGGTCTTTATATGCCATGTTATTTAAACTATGGGGGTGATAAATTATTTTTTCTCGAAGTGAACGAAAAAGATTCGTTTAGAATTTGAACACGGTACGCCAATTCCGTTTTCCGTGCTAATAGCCGTTCTGATATACACATATACTATGTAATATTAGAATTGCTCAAACGTAAACAGGAATTGATCTCCAGAACAGAGAAAACGTGTAGATTGAATCAAGAAAACCGCTGAGCATCCATTGGAATATCGAATTCATTTTCAGTAAGGATGTAATAAACGAAAGGATAAAAAAGATTATGAAATCTTACTAAACCAGCAAAATTATTTTCCAAGAAAGCTATTTTCCCATATCTCTCTCTCTCTCTCTCTCTCTCTCTCTCTCTCTCTCTCAAGATTCTTGAAGCTATATACATAAAACAGTTGAAACCTAACCTGAAAATATAAACTATGAAATCTCCACAAATATTCTTAAATGCCTATGATTGGTAACAGAAGCGATTGGTTTCTACCAACGGCTTCCCATACTTAATACATCTCGTTTTCACTCTCGCGTGGTCAGGTGTGACGTAATGAGCTGCGGTGCGATTTTCACTTCCAGCGTCTCGTATGCACGATTTTGTCGTTGCTTGGAAATCTTCCATGTAAACAAAAACAGACTGTCATTATTGTTTTGTCCGTGTATTGTTTAATATATTATAATGTAATTGTCATGTTTGATAATGGCTTATGTAAGCAGAAAGCTTAGATTGGATTAACAAATATGTATCCATATTGTGATTTTCTTTCGTCTTTCAATGGTAATTTTATTAAGTTTATCAGACGATATGAAAATAATTTACATAAAACAAATAGAAAACACTTGTCAATATTAATTAATGAAACATTCATCAATACATACACACACATATATATATATATATATATATATATATATATATATATATGCTGAAGGCATATCTTAACGTAAACAAATTATACATATTATGTTATGAAATGGACAAAGTCCGACAATTATTTTAACATATTTTTTTGTTTATAGGTTATTTTCATAGATACAAATATTTAAGTAAATGTTCTGTTCATAATAAAGAATATTAACAATACTTACCGGCCTGAATGTCCGAGAAACCTCGAAGAAAATTTATGTCCTCCGACATGAATCGAACCTGTTTCCTAAACGGAACCGTCATCTAGCCTGACATGGTATACCACACTTTTTGAAGAGCCGGATACAGAGACCTAGTGCACCGTGTGTCACAAAGATCTCCAACCGACACTCCTCAGGTTTTGAATTCAGAGATGTGCTTCTCCTAGACCAGTTGTATCCAAGGCTATATAAACCAATCTGTCTTGTGTAACTGGGGGGGGGGAAGGATTCATGCCTTTCCCAAGGGTATTAGCACCACTATTATAAAATCTTATGTGCAGGTTGTCTGGCTGTCGGTTCCTGGGAACCGCCATAGGGTGTGGAAGGCTGTCCGGCAGGGAGATCTCGCTTCTTTACGCCGCATAGCCAGGGTTATGATCCCTGGTCGGTACGGGTCAACGGTCATAGTCGATCTACGACAGAATAGTCCCATATATATATATATATATATATATATATATATATATATATATATATATATATATATATGAGAGAAAGGGATTTAATAAGAATTGGTTTGTTGTTTTTGTTTGGCGTCATATCAACCTGTATGGCTTATTTAATAGCGAAACCTAAATATGAAGTTTCAAAATTTCCAATTAATTCAAAAGAATGTCATTATTTCATAATTAAATTATAATTACTTAGCTGCGTTTTCTTTTAACAAATAATCTTAAAAAGTCAGACAAGGAGTGAAAACTTGTTTCTACTTACAAGAAATGAGATTAATCATAGCAAATTCGTTTTTAATTTTTTTTGAAAATCTATGCCATGTTTTCGCTTATGTTATAAAATGTATTGTTTTTCATTTGACTATAAAAATATATTATTGGTAATATTTTTTTTCTTTTTATATATAAAAATGTATTGCTGGTATTTTCCTGGTGTACTGATTTTTTTTTTGAGGGTTCAGTATTTAATTATAATTGTATCACTCACAAGTGCTACAACACCGAGTCAGCATTTACAAAAAATGGTTCGACGGTCCTCAAATCATCAAATTCCTCCATCGGAGTCCTTGATGTAGGCTATCGTCATACCCAGGACGCGAATCCACCAAGAAGAAAATCCATTGAAAATACGCTGATCTCAAAATTCTAGATAATAAAACCAGAACCATATCATCGCAAAAGAGTTGACATTTTTTTTTACGTTCGGTTTCTTCAGATTGGAATAAAAGACAAAATTGGATGTAAGGAAAATGTGTTTGAATTTTTAGCATAAGAGAGGCAATAAATTAAATTAGCTCAGCAGGTCTGACGTCCAGGGATCGGCATGTTTTCTAAGACCATGATCATGAATAATATCAAGGATCATCGCAACAAAAATAGTAGTACAATACAGTAGCCATGTTAATAGAGTCAAAACAGCAGTCTATTCGGGGTAAGATGATTTGAAATCCGACACCAGCGGTTGTAATATATATAAAGAGATATCAAAAATTCCCGAGTCGTCGGAGCTGATAAGGTAATTTAATTTATTCTTCCCCTCATTCTAAATAATCCCAACACATCTTTCTTATAGAGTTTTTGTCTTTCATTCTGACCTGAAGAGGCCAAAACATCACACGTCAATTCGGCGAAAGCATTTCCACTTTGTCACCTTTTCGTGGTTGGTATGAGTATGTGGATGCAGACAGAAAGAGAACGATAGAAAAAGCAACTGAAAGCGACGAAGTGTTTTTTGTCATAGTGTGTTGCTACGTCTCAACTGAATTTTAATCTCTTGACAGTTCAAAGTGACTTCTCGGATTATTTTCCTTCGGCGCAATCACCTGCATCATTCCAACCTTGCAACTTCGACTGCACTCATTCGACAGCGCAGTGATACATGACGTAAATTATCCTCATTGCAGTTGAATCTGTACTGTCTAATCCTGGAGGCATCAAAAGCTAAACGAATTAATGGAACCGTATCAAACGCTGAGCAGGCTGTAAATAATTTAACTCTCAAAATGGCTGCTGTCGCGTGTTAAGACGCCCGTGCGCAGAGATTGCTCAGATAATGACAGAGAATTATATTTTATTTTTTTACTTGCATTTATTATCGTGTACATGATTCCAGATTAAATATCCAGGTGCGACTGGGTAATTGTATCAAAACGAGTCTTCCATACACAAAACTGGTGACGCGTAATGGTATATTGACTGCCTACTTTGGGAAAACGTGATCAAACAGACTGACACATATCTATTGAGAAGACATAGCTTAAGCTTGTCTGACACAAGGCTATAATAGAAAACTCACAACATAGACGAACTGCACAATCGTATACAGTTTATGCGACCGGGAAGTTTGTTACGTATATCGGTATACCGCTGACTGCATTATATACTAAACCGTTGTATACGATGTATCATCATCATCATCACCATCATAATCATCATCATTCTTCGACCTGCCTATGGTTGGTTGGAGCTCTATTGACAATTCTTTTTTACTTTTCTACACTGTTCGGTCCTGCATTGCTGGGCCCAGGTCCCCAATGTCCAGCTCTAAGTCCCGAGTTACGATGTCTGGGAAAGTCAATTTTCATGAGAAGACCCTTCCAGAAGGTTGGCAAAAGAAGTAAGGATGCAACTATTTCACTGTCCCTTCGATGGCAGAGGCCAACACACTATAATCGTTTTTGATTGAGCTTAAGAGAGATTGGTCTCCGGTCTTCGTAAATTCTGTTAAGCGTTTCATAAGATCTCTAGCTGATCTTCTAAGTAGGTTTGTATATGCTCCATTTGATCGTCTTTCAAGACGAACAAATAATCTCCAAGTCTCTGATCCATACATGATAGATAGATATGAACATACATGAGATTGATAGATAGTTCCTCCTCCTCCTCCTCCTCATCATCATCATCATCATCATCAGAAATAGACTCTCGAGAAATCAAATATTTTTTCTCTGTCACGACTGTGGACAGCTGAGTGGTTGATCTCCTGGTGAATCCGTGTATATGAGACTTAAGCATTTGGGTTGCAAGATTAGCAAGATTAGGTCATATATGTTTCATATATGATAAATAGATAGATAGTCAGATATTAACGGTGTGAGATAGACAGGCGGACTGATAGATAGATAGATAGATAGATAGATAGATAGATAGATAGATAGATAGATAGATAGATAGATAGATATGAACAGACCCAAGATAGAGAGTGAGAGATGATCATCAGCAGCAGAATCATCATAATCCTTCCAAAACCTTATGGTTGGTCGGAACTCCAGTGACAATCGCTTTCCACACTGTTCGGTCCTGCATTGCTGTCTCCAGATCCCCAATATTCAACCATCAGTCCCGAGCTATAGTGTCTGGGGAAAGTCAATCTCCGTGCGATGACATTTCCAGAAGGATTCCATATAATATTGATTGAGCTAGGATCGAGATAGATAATCTACAAGTCTCTGATCCATACATAGATAGATATGAACATACATGAGATTGAAATTTATATCGACTCATCCTTACTCATGCAAGTGTGTGTGTGTGTGTGTGTGTGTGTGTGTGTGTGTGTGTGTGTGTGTGTGTGTGTGTGTGTGTGTGTGTGTAAAAAATATAGAAAATAGGAAAGAACTCGTTAGGTAAATAATCCAAAGTTCTTGAATTAAAACTTGAATTAATTTTTGTTATTATTTAAAAAAAAAAACAGTGCTCGATACAAAAGTAGAGCCTAAATATAATTATTTATTTAAAAATATGATTCCATCGTTACATAAGAGATCTCATAATTCTCCTGTAGCGATGGAATCATATTTTTAAATAAATAATATATATATATATATATATATATATATATATATATATATATATATTAATTTTGTTAAATTTCAATGTGTATTTTTTTTACAAATGGAAAATTGTCACATCGTTAATAATTCGTTACACATTGTACACTCACACACACACACACATACACACACACTCACTCACACACAACACACATACACACACACACTCACTCACACACGCATAAACACATACACACACACTCACTCACACACACATACACACATACACACACACTCACTCACACACACATACACACACACACGCACACACACATACACGCACACTCACACACACACTTGCATGAGTAAGGATGAGTCGATTACCCTGTCCACTCGGTGGCAGCAGCCGGCAAACTGGAATTGTTTTTTGTTTGAGCTTAATAGAAATTGGTCTTCGGTCTCCATAAATTCTGTTAAGCGTTTCATGGGATCTTAAGCTGATGTTCTGCGTTTTTCTAAGTAAGTTTGTATATGATACATTTAGTCGTCTTTCAAGACGAGCAGATAACGTCCAAGCTTCCGTACAGTAGGTCTGGTTCAATCAAAGTTCTTAAGGTTTGGAATCTTATTTCGACGAATAAGGGAACAGAAAATTAGTATTTCGAACCGACCAGCCAGTCTATTGGCGTTTATGATTTGTTAATAGTATTGAAGACTGACGCAGAATCAACCACGCTTTTTGTAAGAACCGAATACACAGAACTGGCGCATATTGTGTGCCAAAGGATTCCCAAATATGGATCACTTCCTCAAAATTTGAAATAATAGTCCTTCTACTAGACATTTAACTAAGAGAAGGAATTGTTGAATCATCCCAATTCAAAAGTTATTTACACATTAGAGAATTCAAACTTGGCTTTCCAGTTACTAAATGCGAGCAGCTATCCATTGTTACCCAGTTCCCCCCAATCACACACACACACACACACACACACACACACACACACACACACACACACACACACACACAAACATATATATATATATATATACTGTAAGTTTGGTAGTTCATTCCTTTTATTATCTGATAATCTTCATATCAATATAAATATATGTGGGTATACGTATTGTGTATTGTTGGTGTCTGCATATATGTGTATGTTTTATCGATAGATGTATATATATATACATGTGAATTTTTATAAATATATATATATGTTTGTTAGTATATATATACATATATATATATATTTGTATTTGCGTGTACTTATGTATGTGTGCCTATGTTTTGTGTGTGTATATATATATATATATATATATATATATATATATATATATATAATTGAATGAGTGTATGTTTACATGTATGTATATATGAATATATCTGTACTTTTTTTATATATGTTTGTATATATATATATATATATATATATATATATATATATATATATATATATATATGTTTGTATTGATACCTGTTATAAATGTGCTTGTTTATGTATAAGTGTTTATGTATATTGTTTATTTATGTGCTTGCATATGTATAAGTGTGTAAGGTTTTGTATCTTTTATATGCGTATGTGGATTTATCTGTGTATATATATATATATATATATATATATATATATATATATATATATATATATATATATATATATATATATATATATATATATATATATATATATATATATATATATGTATGGAGTAAGTGTGCATATATTTGTATATATATATATTGTATATATTTTATATCTTAGTGTTTTTGGAATGTTAGCCATAATCTACTTTTGTTTGATAGCGCTTTTAAAATTGCTTGTAGATTTAATAATAAACAGTAGTGTTTTTGTCACATTTTAATCTTGTATGTACTTTTACAATCCTTTATTGTCATCTGGATAATATTGTTAGTATATGTGTAGTTTTATGTACATATATATATATATATATATATATATATATATATATATATATATATATATATATATATATATATATATATATATATATATATATATATATATATATGAATATATGTATATATATATATATATATATATATATATATATATATATATATATATATATATATATATATGTATGTATGTATGTATGTATATGTATATTTCTGTGTATGTGTGTATATATATATGTATTTTTTTAATGTTACTGAGTAGGTTGATATATCTATATTTATTTCTATATGTGTATATATATGCATATGCCTATATGTGTATTCATGTGTGTATGCATGTATATGTGTATATACAGTTATGTATGTATATGGGTATATGTTTATGTATATGTATATGTGTAGGTATACCTTTGTATGTTTCTATGTGTAGTGATGAATATGTATGTATTTTTTCACATATTGTTATATATTTGTACTGGTGCATGTGTAGCAATGCGTATATAGTATATATATGATATATATATATATATATATATATATATATATATATATATATATATATATATATATATATATTTTTGTGTTATGAGGTTTTTTATATATTAGTTCCTATTATTTTTACATGTTTCAACTTTTGAATTTGGTGTTTTCTTATGTGTGTGTATGTGTATATACTTATTTTTCTATCCATTTCTATATATTTTAGTGTCTTCTCTTTTCTTTACGTTGTTTATTGACCAACATTTGTTATTTTATTCTACCTACAATAAGTTTTATCTATTCAACCTTTTTTATCGATATATCTTTGCCCGACCAAGCATAGAAATAAATACAATATGGGAACCAGTAATAAGGAGTGCCAGAGAAAAGCAATGATAACAAAGTTGCAATATGAACTCTGGTAAAGTCATGCAATGATAACAGCAAAAAATTGCAATATGAGCACTGGTAAAAATGATGCTGAAAACATTAGGTTTATAATACTCAGAAGTTCATACCCAGATGTCCTCAAGGACACATGGCACAGTGGATAAAGGCGTTGGTTAGATCCAGTGACAGACCCAAAGAAGGTGAATTCATTTCCTGGTTAAGGCAGTGGAGAACTTTCAGAGGGAAAATTAGCTGGAGATAACTGATAACTGACATCCATCAAACATGGCACGTGGAATTAGAACAGTCTACCCCAGTGATCGAAATAAAGGGTTCAGTTCGAAATTCCGACCACCTGAAGAAGGCCGGAGCGTACAACGGCCGAAACGTTGTGACAAATATGGCGACAAAGATGAGGACAATAGTCCGACTAATGTAAATACTGTATCTTTGCCCGTGTAAGTTATATTTTAATAGTATGTTAGAATTCGTTTACTAACACTTTCAAATTTGAATATTTCTTTGTGTGTACATGTGTGTGTCTTTATCAATGTATGTGTATATAATCGCTTATATGTGCCTTTCATTGTATGTACATGTTTTTAAGGGTCGTGGACGCGTATTTCCTGTATCGTCGCATTTTTGCGTGTTTATATATCTAAATATGTTTACATGTTTGTGTATTATAATCTGATTGTGTATTTATTGTCTTTTGCAAGATTTCACTCTCCACTGCCCATATCATCACTCCAAATGTATCGAAGTTGTAACGAAGCTCAGAGCAACATTAGATTTTAACGTTTATTCTAACTGAATTTTTGGCCTTTCAATAAAAACAAAATAAATAACAAAACGTAAGTATTCTTTCCTCAGTTTCTTCTTTAAATAATTTTATAATTTTTTAACTTAATACAGATTAAATCTAAAATTGATAATTTGAATTTGGAATTTTAAAATTTAATTTTTTAATTTTAAAATTTAATATTAATTAGTTAGAATGATTTATATTTTAGTCTAAGCCTAACATTAAAAAATTAATTATTATAACCAAGATTTGTTGTCAAGTTTTTTGAATTCTCATATACTTGTAATCTGATTGGTCATTCCAGCTTATATGACATCGTTTCCCCTAGCGAGGTATGTTTGATTGATTGAACCTTTTAAAACTCTTTATTTTACTTACAACGCCATCACTTGATAAGTCACTAGAAGTAATGAAACAAAATGTCTATTTTTGTAGTGATTTTATAACAATTTTATGTTATAATTTTCGAATAAATAATAGTGCAATTCACAATGATTGGCGACGAAAAGAAATTTTCATAAAGAATTTGATTTTCTTTCTCCTATAATGGTTCGCAACGATATGGTTGTCACGTTTTTCTATTTCAACTTAACTTCCGAAACTGTGTAACCGGTAAAGTTAGTGTAATTAAACACTCTATATTATTAAACTTTTTCCGATGCAGTTTTACACGTGTGGGATATATAAGAAAGACTTAAGATTCAAATATATAAAGAAATGTATTATATATATATATATATATATATATATATATATATATATATATATATATATATATATAATTTTGTTAAATTCCAATGTGTATGTTTTTACAAATGGAAAATTATCACAACGTTAATCATCCGTTACACATTGTACACACACACACACACATATATATATATATATATATATATATATATATATATATATATATATATATATATCTGACTCTTCCGTCGAATTCGACGTAAGAGGGTCAAGCAGATCAGTTCCTTGGAAACCGATAGCCTGACACCAGCACATGAGATTTGATTATAATGATGAAGGTTTCGTGCAGGACCATCCACACTTTTTGAGGAGCCGAATAGAGTGACCTGGTGCTCTACGTACCACAAGGTCCCCAACTGCCATCCGCAGGTTTTGAATTCAGGGTTGTCCTCCTTCTAGTCCAGTTGCCATCCATGGCTATAGAACCCAGTCTGTCCTGCTATTTACCCATACCTGGGGGGGGGGAGAAGAGGAATCACACCTTTCCCAAGAGTATTAGCACGTAAGTGAAAGTAATGGATTCGACTCTCTGTGTTAATTCAAATATTACTATTAGTAGATGTCTGTGCCTAAAATAGATAATATTTTTTTTTCGTTTTAAATAGTGCAATTCAGAATGCTTGGTGACGAAAATAAATTTTCATAAAGAATTTGATTTTTTTTCTCCCATAATGGTTGCCAACGAATGATTTAAGTAGCACTCTATTCTGCTGTTTACCCATAGCTGGGGCGGAAAAAATGGCTTCAAACCTTTCCCAAGAGTATTTGCGCGCATGTGAATGAAATGCACCCGACGGGAATTCGAACTCAGCTCCCGGGTTTATTAATTGGGCTCGCCATCCATTAGTCTAACTCTCGCATTTAACTTAAATGTAAGTGGACAGGTTGAGGCTCGAAATCACTCCTTTGAGCTTATTCTTTCCTAGAAAAGCTTGTTAAACACTTAGCGACGCCATTAATCGATGTTCTATGAATGAAATAAAAGACCTTTACTGTAAGAATGCCCTTTATTTATGTTTTTAGATTGCCTCATTAAAAAGAAGGAAAAAAAACTTTATTTACCTGTGAATATCATAATCAAACTCCCCATTTATACATCTATTGACATTTCGCCCACATTCATGTGACCCGTACCGAAAGATTGTGGTTTAAAATCCGATATAGAAACCATTTTTTTTTAAATTCTGAAATCAGAATCAATTAAAACCACGACCGTATTTTATTGCTGATTGTCCCTTGTATTGACTTTTAAAAGAAAAAGAAATGAAACTCGTTTCGTCAGAGGATTAATCTGATTTAATTCCAATTAATTCAGATATCTAATTAATTAGACGGCGGCAATATTGAACAACAGCTGTCATGAAATGACACGGATAAAGTGTCAATAATCAGACCAGATTCATTAAAAATTTTCAAAGTTTACAACGCACGCATACAAACAGGCCTTCGTTGGAATAATGCCATTGAATAAATTATTCATGGGATGGGAAAAAAACAACTTTGTTTTCTATTTAGAGTATTTATATACATTTATTTTCCTTTAAGATAAGTTTCATTTTACTTATTCTTCTAGTCACGTTTCAGTTGATTTAAACTTTGACCTCCTTAAAGTTAGAGTGACTTTCCAAGGGTAACTTAAATGTGGCACAAGGCCGAAACCTCCCTAAAGTTATATGTCGTATTCGCTAATATTCTGCAATGTAGAAAAAGAAATTGTGGCCGAGTTAAAAGTTATTAGTGAAGTCCTGTTTGCTACGTAAATTAATTGTATTTGATACGTCTATGGAACCCAGTACAAAATCTAGTAATAAAAGGAGAGTTCTTAAAATGTGAAAAATGGAAAAAAAAGTGAAATTATAATCTGATGGGCTTCCTTACGTATATCACTATTGATTAACTTTTCAAGATAAAGGATTTCATTTTTTGTTTAATCTCAAGATAAGGTATTTTCTTTTGCTTTGCGAAGGATAATCAACTTACAATTAGGTTGCATAGTAAACTGAATGCTAGCCATTAACTTTTATCAAATTTAATAACATCTTTTGAGTTCTTGATCTGGACTGTTTACTTTTTAATAATATGGAATATAATTTTCAAAATATATAATGATATATATTAATTTTTCTTATACCAATTTTATTTTATTTTTTATACTCATACCAAAAGTGGTACAATGATTAGCAAGCTTGCCTCGCTAGAACGGTTACGACTGAGTAGTGTGTTTGATCCTCACTGGGTGCTCTATACCTTCGGCCTTGTGCCACATCTAAGCTGCGCTTCGAAAACTACTCCACTGTCTTGACATGAGTTTATGACTATCAGCATAATATTATGTCCAGTGTTTAATTTGTGATGGTCTATTTTGCGTACATGAAAGTCGAACACACACACACACACACACACACACACACACACACACACACACACACACACACACACATATATATATATATATATATATATATATAGAGAGAGAGAGAGAGAGAGAAAGTTATATTGATATATATATATATATATATATATATATATATATATAAAGATAGATAGATAGATAGATATAGACAGATAGATATATAGACAGATAAAGATAGCTAGCTAGATAGAAAGATAGATAGAAAATTATAGATATTGCTATATATGTATATATAGAGAGATACATAGATATAGACAGATAAATATATAGACAGACAGAAATAGAGATAGCTAGCTAGATGAATCGATAGAGAGAAAGATAGACAGATAGCTAGGTCACTAGATAGATAGATAGATAGATAGATAGATAGATAGATAGATAGATAGATAGATAGATCTTTTACATACGCATGCATTAATTCCAGCCATTATTAATAGCGCATCGTTTCTCTTCCGGTAAACTGTTATCTTGCTATTCAAAGAAGACTTAAAATTGAACAAATAGCAACGTCTCCTGAAATGCATAAATGTTTGCCCTGTTGTATTTTCAAGTATCTGTTGAAAAAGAGTTTAGCCCCCACAAGGATATTCATGCAGATATGCCCACTACATTAGGGTATGACGCCCAAGTTTTATCAACAGTGCAAATGTAATGTAGATGAAATTGGGAGAAGTTTTGTTTCGTTTCGTTTGTCTTACGGCATATGAACCCCAATCGGTCATTTAATAACAACTTTTTTTTCCTGGTTATATTTTTGTTTTGTTAAAAATCTATTTCTGTTAATATGTTTTCCTCAAAAGCGTATAGCTGGTAATATTATATTTTCAAAAACGTACAGCTGTCAACATTATTTTTTTTTTCAAAAACGTACAGCTGGCAACATTATTTTTTCAAAAACGTATTAGCAGTGGCCTTGCTGCTGGGCGTAATTTATCGTCTTACCCAGGAAGCGGATGCAGTCTGATTGTTAACAATTTGCCCATAGCTGGGACCCTAACAGGTGCTACCACCCCGGGTCAGAGTTGACCTGGGAACACCAGCAATTGAGAGGTGGTTCCACGCTCCTCAAAACCTTCCGACCAAAGGACGTAGTTTATCGTCTTACTCAGGACGCGGATTTAGTTTATCGTCATACCCAGGACGCGGATATAGTTTATTGTCATACCCAGGACGAGAAATTGGGAGAGGAAGGGAGTGTCTTGAACTTTCCCAATGCCTTGCCGTCGTTTGATTGTCATCAGCGAGGTCATCTTGCTGATGGTAACAGGTGATTGACTCAAATACCCAGTACTATTATCATATCGTGTGTGAGAGTTGAGAATATTCTGCACAATGAACTTGGAATGACGAAGGTCTACGTTCGATGGGTGCCACGTCTTCTGACACCTGATTTAAAGCGCACCAGGCTGATCGCATCCCGAGAAAATATGACATTGTTTGACGCAGATTCAGCTGGTTTCCTTGAAAGTTTTCTAACACAGTGAATTTCGGGTTCAACATTTGATCCAGAGACAAAGAGAGAATAGATGCAGTGAAAACACTCTTCCTCACCTACTCTTCAAAGAAGTTCAAGGTCGTTTCACCTGCAAGGATAGTTATAGCCTTTGTTCTTTTTTTAGGATTCAATTGACTGTCTTTAAGATGGACACATCATCAATGAAGTGTAATGTGCTAACTTGCTGAGCCAGTAACGAATGGCTACCAAGACAGAAACCCCGTGGAAACTGAAGAAAGGGGTCTTGCTTCATCCAGACAATAATCCAGCGCACAAGCCCTTCGTTTCAATGGCTGATATGAGTCAACTGGTGGATCATTCTCCTTATTCTCCTGATTGGATTATCCTTTTTTCCCCACGATGAAAAAACATTTGCCTGGATACCAGTATTGCAGTAATTATGACATATTTATTGTGGATGTGTTTTTAGACCAACAGGGTGAACAATCAGATGTCAGTTTACCAGGAAACAAACAATGCAGCAGTTAATAAGAAGATTTGAAATTAATGAAAGCAAGATTTCACAGCGCTAGCATTAGTCAGCCTATGAACATTTCAGCCCACCCTCGTATCTGGGAAGGAGAAATGCAGTTATTAATAAGAGTTGGACTTAATGCAATCAAGATTTCAAATCCTTTATAGCCTTAGAACATTTTAGCTCCCCCGGGTACATATCGATTTTCAGTAATAAAGGAAATCAGTCTCATCGAAAGTCCCATTGAGTGATCGAGAAAATTACTAATCTCAGATTCAATATCGATAAATACCGAATGTTATTAGATTTAACACACAGTTTTAATAATTAGAAAAACGACATCGTTTCTTACTATAGCAATATTAATAAATGTCTTCTTAGTGGAAGTTAATCCTATTCTTAATGACACTAACTTGTCGTGATCAACTCCAATTGAAGAACAATATGCCTTCCAAAAGAGGAAGAACATGTATTGTCTTTTTCCATTAGGAAATCAATTCTATAGACGAAGAATGCCGATTATCATTATCCTATTATTATTATTATTATTATTATTATTATTACTATTATTATTTCGAATAAGAGGTTAGAAAGATCTTCAAGTATTGCAAAGACCAATAACAACACACGAGAAACCTATTTTTAAGAAAAGTTTTTAAAAGAGTGTATAAATTTCAACAATAAATAAATAAATATTTCTATGTCTATGCATCCCTATCTCTTCATATATATATATATATATATATATATATATATATATATATATATATTCGAATCGACTCGACGTATGAGGGTCAAGGAGCTCAGTTCCTAGGAAGCGAAAGCCAAACACCAGCACATATGAATTGATTTTAGCGGTGAAGGCTTTGTGCAGAACCAACCACACTTTTTGAAGAGCTTGATGCAGAGACCTGTGCACTACGTGCCACAAGGTCCCCAAACGACCCTCTGCAGGTTTTGAATTTAGAGTTGTACTTCACCTAGACAAGTTGCCCATACCCGAGTGGAGGAAGACTGACGAGGCATATTTTTTTCCTGTAGTAAGTTTCCAGTTTTCTGCGTTAGACCAGTTGACATCCAAGGCTACAGAACCCAGTCTGTCTTGCTATTTACAAGTGAATGTAATGGATTCGGCTGGAATTCGAACTCGGATCTCCGATTTCTAAATCCGGGCCGCTATCGTTAGGAGAAGGATAACTCTGAATTCAAAATTTGCGCCCCTAAATCCCCAAACGGCCCTCCGAAGGTTTTGAATTCAGACGGAAGAACAATTCTGATTTTAAAACCTTCGGAGGTTCGTTTGGGGACCTTGTGGCAGATGGTTCATCAGGACTCTTTATTCGGCTCATCAAAAGGTTTGGTTGGTTCTGCACAAAAACTACACCACTATAATCAAATCATATGTGCAGGTTGTCTGGTTGTCGGTTCCTATGAACTGTGTGGCCTGACCCTCATACGTCTTAGGGTGAGGTAGCGCGGCGGGGAATTCTCGCTTCCTTCCGTACTTGTACTTCTCTGTCCATCCTTAAGTCCCTATCTATCTATCTATCTATCTATCTGATTTTGTTTCTTCCTGTCTATCCCTGTACGACTTTTAACTATCTTCGTCCATATCTGCACACCACTCATTCACTATCTATCTATCTATCTATCTCTCTTTATATATATATATAGATATAGATATATATGTCGACATTTATGCATCTGTCTAACTATATATGTATCTCAGTCTTTTCAATGTCTGTTTATCTCCATCTATCTATCTATCTATCTATCCATCCATCCATCTATCTCAGTGTTCATATCTATCTCTACATCAATATATATATATATATTAAGAAATGGACAAGGTCCGACAATTTATTTATTAAAGACATATTTTTATGTTTAACGTTGTTATTTTATAGATACAAGTATTTAAGCAAATGCTCTGTTTATGATAAACAGTATTAAATAAAACCGGCCTGAATGTCGAGAAATTTTCAGAAAATTTTTTGGATTGAACCTGCATCTATACGGAACCGTCATATTGACGTGCCTTTTTGTAGCTACAAAAGAACCAATCGGTAAAAGGAATTACTGCTTATAAACTCCAACTTTCCAGATCTCGTACCGATTAACTGCTCTGGCGTATCGAATGTAAACAAATGACGTCATATATTAAGAAATTCAAGGTCCGACAATTTATAAAAAAGGGATGCAGGTTCGATTGGTTCTTTTGTCGGTAAAGGAACAAAATTGTTCGTATGAAAAATTTCTCGGACATTCAGGCGGTAAATGTTATTTAATACTGTTTATCATAAACAGAGCATTTGCTTTAAATACTTGTATCTATAAAAAATAACAACGTTAAACATAAAAATATGTCTTTATATATATATATATATATATATATATATATTAATAAATGTACATATACAAATACCAACGTTTAGGTGTGCGACTTAGGTTACTCTGGTTTTACAGCACATCTGACACAATGTATAGCTTATTTTTTTATAAAGTACACAGATGACTCATGAGAATAACGCTGTTTCATAGACAAAAATAAAATAAAATAGAAGAAATGATGCAGGAAATGAACTGTATGTAGTGTTCATTAAAAAAAGAAGAAACTTTTTAAAAATAATAAATAAAGAGAAATTTCAAATTTAATTTTTAAATTAATACTGGCGACGCTGGTCTATTTAAGATTCGGTAACACCCGCCGCGTTAATGAGATGTAAGTGGTGTGAAACCTCAAGCTTAAAATTGGAAATATATAATAAAAAAGATTAATTTAATAAAAAAGATTAATTTAATCCGGCTTCCAGTATTTTAAGAGAAACTATTTTCTGTGCCTACAGGCTATCATGAATTCGTTCCGCTTATTACTATGGCTTGGTTTGGGCTACAAATTCTCAATTTACGTGAGGTGTTTAGGCATCTGTTTTGATGCTCCAGTAAAACTTAGAGAATGCTTTGGCGTTTGCATAATTTTTTCTGCTAAGGGTCATCTTATCGTGATAGAAACCCTTTTTCCAACTATTAGTGGTAGATCCAAAATAAAATTTGATTTGGTCATTGTGCTTGACGCTAGTCTTATAGATATCTCCTTTATACATGCATTTACCGTTCATGGGACAGATTGTACCTTTCCGACACTTACATTTTTTTATCATCATGGCTAACACTGCTACTAGTTCTGTTAAAGTATTTGTTATGGTTTAGTCTATTATATTTGGTTAAATATTGATGAAGGTTTTCAATGGAGCTGTAGTTAATTTTTCCTTTAATTTTCTGAGTAAGGGATTATGGCTAAAACGTTTAATTTAATTAAAATTAATTTAATCCGGCTTCCAGTATTTTAAGTGAAACGATTTCCTTTGCCTACAGGCTATCATGAAGTCGTTCCGCTTGGTTTGGGCTACGAATTCCCAATTTACGTGACGTGCATAGGCATCTGTTTTGATGCTCCAGTAAAACTTAGAAAATGCTGTGGCGTTTGCATATTTTTTTTTTTGCTGCTAAGATTCATTTATGATGTTAGATACGCTTTTTCCAACTATTAGTGGTAGATCCCAAATAATATTTGATCTGGTCATTGTGCTTAACACTAGCCTTATAGAAAACACCTTTATACATGCATTTACCGTTCATACGACAGAGGGTAGCTTTGCGACAATTACATTTTTGATCATGGCTACCATTGCTAATAGTGCTGCTTAAGTATTTTTAATGGCTGCATTATTATTTGGGGTTAAATATTGTTCAATGTTTTTAATGCAGCTGAAGCTAACCTTAACGTTGTTCCTGTTGAAGATTTTTCTGAGTAAAGGATTATGGCTAAAATATTTGTGTACTAAGCTAAGAAAGGTTCTACCGATGTTGGTCCTGACATTACTGTTGAAGGGAGGATTGAACCAAATAATGTTACACTTTCTATTCTTACATTTACTATTGGTATTTCTACTAGTGTTAGGGAAGTACTTTAGTTCAACATTATACTTACTTCTATTTAATGCATCAACGTATTTGGTTGTGTATTTGTCAAAGATACGTTTACTGCTAGGTTTAATAGAGAGCCTATGCTGCACAGATTTGTGTAGATTATTATGAATACATGGCGTGCTGTTAGATTCTTTACTAATATATATGATTATAAATGACTTATAATAAGTAACTTTATAATACATGTATGGTAGGTTAAATTGTGATTGCATCAGAAAGGATTACATACCACCAATGCCACATTTGAGGAAAAGATCAGGTTTAGAGATTTTGTCCTGCAGTGTATAACCACACATTGAACGAAGACAGCGTTTATGAAAAGCATCAAGTTGATTGATGTGTGTTCTGTATGGCGTCCACGATTCTGGCCCATGAAGAAGTGTGGTGAGAATGAATTCCCGACAGGCACTGATTTTTTTTGTTTCGCTGTATCACAGCTCATCAGTGTGGCTAGACGTCCGGTTGCCTCTAGCTACTAGGATCGAAACCCGACTGAATTGGCGACAGTCGGGAATTCTACCACTAAGCCGTTGGCACACGGCAGGGATAAAGGTGTATTTAAGCGTATTTATTTTTAGAAAAAACACACAGTGACTGACAGAAATCGATTCGATTCACCGGAGAGTCTTGCATTTTATATATATATATATATATATATATATATATATATATATATATATATATATATATATATATATATATATATATATATATATATATATATATATATATATATATATATATATATATATATATATATATATATATATATATACCTCTTCATATCTAATATCTATCTATCTATTTATCTATCTCAAACTTTTCATATCTATTTTTCTCAGTCAGTTCATATGTATGTATGTATGTATCATCTGTTTTAATCTGTTTACATATATATATATATATATATATATATATATATATATATATATATATATATATCTTGTCTGATCATATTTCTCCTATCTTTTACCTATCGTTATTCATATCTGCGCACATCTCAGGTCTATCTATCTATCTATCTATCTATCTATCTATCTATCTATCTATCTATCTCTGCCTGGTCATATCTATCTATCTATCTATCTATCTCTGTTCATATCTATATCTGTTCATATCTATCTATCTATCTATCTATCTATATTTCTCTGTCCGTTTATACCTATCTCAGTCTGTTCATATTCATCTATCTATCTATCTATCTATCTATCTATCTATCTATCTATCTATCATTCCTAATGAATGCAGTTCTTCATTATGTTATTGAATCCCTACATGTGTTCTTTTGCATGAGAAATTCCATCTATATATGGAGATATCAACAAGGTGACATATGGAAGTAAAAAAAAGGAGTGAAAAACTGTAAGTTCAAAAATATCAAAACGAATAGCGATTCTTTCTCTCGACACAAAAGCAATCTCTTAATGGTCCAGTGGTTTGCACCAAAACGCATTCACTCACCAAATATAGCAAGTGATTGAAAAATGTAATTATCTCTAATTGCAAAGATCAAGACGTTAATTGCTTTATTGTTCTATCCGTTTGCAATTTTCCGTTACGCAATCTGCAAGAAACAAACCAGTGGAACTCCGCCAAGACACAATAGGACATTACTTTGGGAATCGTGACTTTTGATATTTTTGTATTGCAGGAATTTTTTTTTTTTTTTTTGAAGAGAGCGTTCCGCTGAAAATGTCCGCATCTCATCTATTCGCCCCTCTTATTCTTAGTCGTTTAAGTTCTTATCACTATTAAGGTATCTACTTCACATGATCTACCTAACTCGTTATCTATCAACCTCGGTCTGATCATATCTATCTATCTATCTATCTATCTATCTATCTATCTATCTATCTATCTATCTATCTATCTATCTATCTATCTATTCAGTGTGTTCATATGTATGTATGTATGTATGTATCTATCTATCTATCTATCTATCTATCTATCTATCTATCTATTTCAGTCTGTCATTATTAATTCATCTATCTATTTTATTGTGTTCATATCTATTATCTATCTATCTATCTATCTATCTATCTATCTATCTATCTGTTTCAGTTTGTTTATGCCTATTTCAGTTTGTTCATATGTAGATATATATGCATGTATCTATCTGTATATATTTCTGTTTGTTCCTATCTATATTCTTTTGTTCATATCTATCTATCTATCTATTTATCTATCTATCTATCTATCTATCTATCTATCTCAATCTGCTCATATCTATATATTTATCTCATTCTGTTCCTATCTATCTATTTATCTATCTATCTATGTGTTATTGCCTGGACATATTTATCTATATTCATATTTTACATATCTTTGTCCTCCCACCACTCAATCACTATCAATCTGTTATATATCTCATATATATTTATATATATATATATATATATATATATATATATATATATATACCTATTTCAGTTTGATCACATGTATGTATGTATGTATGTATCTATCTGTCTATCTATTTTAGTCTGTTCATATATATTTCATTTTGTTCATATCTTTCTTTCTTTCTATCTATCTATCTATCTATCTATCTATCTATCTATCTATCTATCTTATACAGTTATATAGTTTGCTATAATTATTAAATTTAATTAGTCTAATCTGACAGCACGAAAGTAAAAATACTGCTACGGAAGCGCAATTTTAAAAGAAGCAAAAATCAAAGAGACAAAGGAATTAAAATTAATTAGAGTGACAGAAGAAAAGAAAGAAAAGAAAACGAAAAGGTTATGGGAGGTAAGAAGAAAGAAATAACGCTTAAAAAAGACGCCTACTTCCTATTAATACTTAACTTTAATCTTGTCATTTAAATTTGCTCATCTTCATCTATTAGTAAAGCTATAAATGTTTTTTTTTCTCATCCTTATTCATTTATAAACAGATTTTAATATTTCTGCATTTTTCTTTCTTTTTACTACTTCATCTGTCATTAAAGGTTCAAATCTCACTTATAAATGTTGTAATATTTAATATTTATTCATTCCATTCTCAGGTCCTTTATACTTTTCTTTCTTTCTTTCTTTCTTTCTTTCTTTCTTTCTTTCTTTCGTAGTTTTCTTTCTCGTTCTTTCTTTCTTTCTTTCTTTTTTCCTTCTTTCTCTTTTCCTCGATTCATTCCATGTTCCGTTCCTTTATACTTTTCTATACTTTTCTTTCTTTTTCTTTCTTTCTTTCTTTCTTTCTTTCTTTCGTAGTTTTCTTTCTCTTTCTTTCTTTCTTTCTTTCTTTCTTTCTTTTTTCCTCGATTCATTCCATGTTCCGTTCCTTTATACTTTTCTATACTTTTCTTTCTTTCTTTCTTTCTTTCTTTCTTTCTTTCGTAGTTTTCTTTCTCTTTCTTTCTTTCTTTCTTTCTTTCTTTCTTTCTTTTTTCCTCGATTCATTCCATGCTCCGTTCCTTTATACTTTTCTATACTTTTCTTTCTTTCTTTCTTTCTTTCTTATTTTTCTTTCTTTCTTTTTTATTTTGTTCTTTCTTCCCTGATTCATTCCATCCTCCGTTCCTTTATACATTTCTTTCTTTCTTTCTTTCTTTCTTTCTTTCTTTCTTTCTTTCTTTCTTTTCTTTATACTTTTCTTTCCTTTATACTTTTCTTTCTTTCTTTATTTCTTTCTTTCTTTCTTTCTTTCTTTCAACCGTCATCCCATTATTTTTTCCTCCCATTCTTTCTTTCACAAATCCTCTAATTTTTTCTCTCCTTCATCCTTTTTTTTACTTTTCTCATTTTCTTTCTTTTCTTCCATCTACACTTCTTTTTTTTTTCTCTCTTTCATTCAATATTGAAAGAAAAAATAATTGCTAAGCCACACGGCAAAAGAATTACGTGTTTCGCTGTAATGTCACTAGTCAGTTTTCGCGTTATTTTTTAAAACATGTCTTTCAAGTGAATGTGCCGTGTGCTGCAATGGATAAAGTCTCAGAAATATAATCGGAGATCCGAGTTCGAATTTCAGTCGGGCCATTCTAAAAGTTATGAATCTTCTCCTATCTATCTATCTATCTATCTATCTATCTATCTATCTATCTATCTATCTATCACGGTCTTTTCATATCTATCTAGTGGCACTACCGCCTTGCTTGTGGTGAATTGCTTAAAAAATCTATGTATCTTCATATCTGTTCATATGCATATATGTATGCATGTATGTATGTATGTATCTATCTATCTATCTATTTCCGTTTGATCATACATAATCTCTCTATCTACACATAAACAGAATAAAACAGATAGATAGATAGATAGATAGATATGAACGGAATGTGATAGATAGATAGATAGATAGATAGATAGATAGATAGATAGATAGATAGATAGATAGATAGAAAAAAGTAAAAAGCAGAAAGACTAGGTTCTACTGTAGGAAATCTCCCAAGTCTGTTATGAATGTCTCTCCTATGGTACTCGACTATTGCTTGGAAGATGTTCAGGTCTCCCACCACTAGGACGATTTTTACCTCATTTTTCTCAGTGGGAACTTATCGTATAAAAAAATATGTGCTATATATTTGTAAGACTCTCACTGCTCTGTCGCTTCTTCTATCGGCAGTTCTTGGACGAACCGCATTCCTTGTTTCCTCCAATGTGAAACTTCACGACCAAGATCCGCCATTTTAACGAACCATTTTCATTTCTTCCGTAAACCATTGGTGAGAAATAATGGAGTAATGCCGTCATATTCGAACAGGAACTGACCTGTCCTAACTTTCTTGTTTCGATAGAATCCAAAACGTCCCCGCGTAATTTGTTAGTGACAAATTATTTTCCACTCAGCAACCCCACACTGACAAGATGTCCCGTAACTCTCACTGCTCTATCGCTACTAACATGAGAGAGTGTTCACAAGAACTATATTCCTTAGTTCAACTATTTCTAACCTTTACAGCTAGGACCCGCCATTTCATTGATTTCACTTGTGTAGCTTCTTCCAGCGGCCACTGCTCCCCAGAGAATGTTTCTTCGATCACTACAATCTTAACCTGTTCAAGTCTTAGAGTCAACCGTTATCTTCCCTTCATATCCAAAGAAACAGTCTCTAATTTAACCCTGTACTTCAAGTGGCTCCTGTGCCTTGAAAAGAGTGAAAATCACTGTGAAAGGAAATTATATTTATTTTGACGACTATATTCTTTGGTTCCGCCATTTTTAACCTTCACGGCAAGGACCAACCATGTCACTTACATTGTAGAAGACCATCCACATTGCCTCATTACTTCATCGGTGAGAAACAAGTTCCACTCAAACAGCTTCTTCCCACGAACCCCTGCACCGGGAAACAGACTCCCAAGATATTTCCCCGTTCACTACAAACTTATTCGAATCTAGGTTTAACCGTTATCTTCCGCACATATAAGCTTAATGTGTGCCTCTTACTCTGCAGTCCTCTACTACCAGAGGAACCCCGGACCTCATACCGAGTAAGTCTCACTTGCCGCCGGGTGAATAACCACTTGAACAGCACAGCTGCACCTGGAAATCAAGCATTGGGAAGATCTGTAACGCATAGACATATATATACTGAGTGTATCAAAAATACTTTTCCAAATTTTGCATGCGGGTTTCTCACACCAAAAAAAGACAAAAGTCAATAAACATATATCCGCAAATCCTTTGTTTCTGTGTTATTAAGTTAAGAGGAGGTTGCTCTATACGAGTGGCTCTCAACGGATTTTGGGCTATGTCCCACTTTTGTATTTTTAAAATTCTGGTGACCTCCTCCTTGTAATATTTAATTCTTACATGTATGCCAATTACACATGTACGTACATGCACATAAAATGTTTTTATGTATGTATACTGTATATGCATCGTATGTATTAACACGTATTAAACACAAAATGTTTTTATGTGTGTATACCATGGCGTTCTATATTAACAGGCTTTTGCGTAACGCCGCTACCTCGATAGACTGGAGGCCGGCTGACAATTAGATCGTTTTAGTTTCAGTTTGAGCGAACTGCTGCGTTCTGTGTATTCTTACGTTGTTGGCTCGAGAAATTCAAAGGAATCTTTTAATTTTACCTTTGGTTGGAATATCATTTAACTTATTTATTTAAAGTAAGTATATTTGATTATTTTAGTTTGAGTCCATAATTTAAATTGTAAAAAGTAAACATTGGTGCTTAAATTTACTCGCACAAAAAGATTTACTTAAGTTTAAAAAGCCTTAACATTTTTAAATTAAAGTTTAATTCATTTTTGGCATTTCCCTCTTAAAGTTTGTTCAACATTTTTTTTATTAAAGTTTAAAGAATTATTTATTGATAAAATGCAATTCTTTTTGAGAAATTTGTGTTATTTTAAGAAGCAAAACAAAACAACGTTTAACAAATTTGAACAGAATTTAATTTAGTTTCTTCAAAGACGTAAAGAAAACTATTTTTATTATAAAATGAATTAAATGTGTTTGCTTTTTTCATAAATTCAATGTCATTACTTAATTTGATATTTATTTTTGATATCGCTAAAAAAACATTGTTAGTATGAGGGAAAACATAACGTCATCGAAATCAAAGTTTATTTTTCTCAAGTTTTTAACCATGATAAAAAATTAGCATAAGTCAACATTTTTCTATTAAAAGTTCAAGTTTGAATAATAAATTTGAATAAGATTTTAATAGAGAAAGGTTCATTAACATTTCTATATTTATCCAATAGTTCCATTAAAAGTAAAAAAAAAACAAAAAAAAACAAACGAATTTCTTCGCGCTTTTGTTTCCGAAGTTGAAGAACAAATGATTATTTTTACTACATTAGTTACCAATTGGTGAACTGTAAGTATTTTTTTTACTTATTAGAATTAAAGAAAAAAATAACGATAATAAATTTATTACATGCAGTTAATGTCAATATTTTAATTATTTTTTTTAGAAAGGTCTCCTTTTTTACGCCTTTTGTCTACAAAATTTATTTTACAAGACAAGTATAATATCTATCATATTCATTTTATTTTTCTGATATTGTTGTAAAAGGACAAAATGCATTATTTTTACTTTACTTTTAATTGTTTTGCTTTAAGGTAAAAAAAATTATATATATTCCTATTTATATAGTTTAAAGCGTATTAAAATAACCAAACTAAAGGAAAGGCTACTTATGAATGTTTTTAAATTTAATATAAAGTTTTAAAGTAAACAACATTGGCCTTCAAATTTTGATACCATAAAAGTTAATTGAAAAATACGTCCAAAAAATCCACCATCTGTATGGCCAGGTGTGCCAAGTAGTCAAATACCAACACCCTCAGCTGTTCAAAGGAATATAAAAAAAAAACCTCCAGTACTGTTAGAAATCAAATTGCTGATGAACTTAATGCTTTTTTAGAATTAGATAAAATTATACAAATTTGAAAGAAAGTCTGCATAACAACAAAAAATACTTTATATGTCCAGTTGTAGCATTTTTGGATGAAAATATTTTAACTGTTCAATTATTAAAATCTATTGATGGTATTCCTCTCTTTATGTTGAAAATTTATAACAATTTGCACTTTGAAACATTTCATTATGGAGTTAACTGTTATATTAGCAGCCTGTCCAAAAATCATATAAATACAGTTGATACTTGGTCAAAACTGGAAGAAATCATCCGATATTTAAATTCAAAAGCCATAGAATCTTCACAAGAAAAATATCCTGAGTCAACAATTTTTAGCAATGGCTCCCAAAATGGTTGGAATAAAATACAGCTCAGATATAGTTGTGCATGCTTTTGGGTACTATGCAAGATCACGGACATTGTATAATGAATTAAGATATGATTTTCAATTACCCTCATTAACAACATTATGAAGGATGACGTCAAATGTTTCAAAACTTAATGAAAAATCTTTTTTGTTATCTATATTTAATACTCTTAATACCAGTCAAAAACGGTGCATAATTCTCCATGATGAAGTATATATCAAAAATATGTTGCTATATCATGGCAAACAACTATTTGGTAAATCAGTTGACAATCCATCTGTACTTGCTCAAACAGTACTTGGTATAATGTTGATATGTCTCAATGGGGGTCCAAATTTTCTTACAAAATTGATTCCAATTTCAAAATTAACATTTTTAACCTTTTTATTTGAAGAAAATGAGTTAACAGTCCAAGCCATCACATCTGTACCAGCTGATGTAAAGGCTATTATATGTGATGGCAACTGCGTAAATCAAGCTTTTTTAAAATTATATCCTACACTTCCTGAAAAACCTTGGTTAACTGAAGATAATAAACATTTGCTTTTTGATTATGTTTATCTGTTGAAAAATATTCGCAATTTGTGGCTGACAGAAAAAACAAGAGAACTAATCGTTGATGATGATGGAGTAAGTCGAGTTGCAAAATGGACACATCTTAAACAGTTATATCGTTTTGAATTTGAAAGACTAGTCAAACTTTCAGATTTAAATGAAATTTCCATTGCTTCAAAGCCAATAGAAAGAGAACGGATTTCTATTTGCCTCAGAGTGTTTTCTGAAAAAACGTATAATGCACTTCTCACTCAGTGTAAAATAAGCGCAGGTAAGAATGATACTGCCCTCTTCATAAACAAGGTTTTGACATGGTGGAAAATTTTAAATGTTAAATGCCTTCAAATTGATAAATTACATAATGATCCTCTACAAGCTGAAATCAAATCTCCAAATGACACCTGACTTTATTTTATCATTGAATTTGGTAAAATGGTTTTAATATGGCTGGCAGTCAAGGTAATCGTAAAAAAACAATTATCCCAAAACACTGCTACTGCCATACATCATATTTGTAATGGAATTGTTAGTCTATGTCGACACCTTTTAGCTACAAGACATAAATATGTACTACTTGGGCAATTTTCAACTGATCTATTAGAAAAAGAATTTGGTAAACTTCGCCAAGGATCAGGTGGCACCTATTTTATAAATGTTCAACAATGTATTGAAAAGCTGCATATTAAACAGACATCATTACTTTTAAATCAAAATGTAAATATTGATGTTAATCCAGGTCACCAATGTACATCTTGTGATTATAAACTTTGTGAGGAAGGTTCAGAAATATTTGACAATCTGGAAAATTTAGAAACATCTCTTTCCAATGAAATAAAAATGGCTCTTGTGTACATAGCTGGATATATTACAAGAAATGATAAACAACCCAGTGAATGTGAAACCCATTTTTATTATGAAAAGTATGGAAAATATACCAATTTAATTG